ACATATACCTAATTGCCTTGCTTGGTTGATTTACAGGAATTATAAATGCGTTCTTGTTGATTCTAATTCCATAGACATATAGGAGTTAGGTTAGCTTGAATAGGCGAAAGAACTTGACAGATTCTTATGAGCAATATTAACCCTGTCAACCAATAAACTAGATAAATTAGTTAGTTAATTCAATTGAAGAATACAATAGGAATGTTAGATAGCCCATAACCCTAGATCGTTTTCATTACATTGATATCATAAAAATATGCTCTTTCTCTGTCCAAAGTTCATTATTTGTTTTTATTTATTTTAATTAGTTTAGAATCAAATACTTCTTGGTTTAATTCTTGTATAGATAATTAGGATAGTCTAATTTAGTTAATAGTTGATCATAAGTTCTCGTGGGTTCGACATCCGACTTTTAGTCACTTTATTACTTGACGACCGCGTATACTTGCGTGTGCGTTTGGCCGCAACAGTACCCTGAGACTAGTAATTTGAAATGAGAATATAAGATATAGTGACAAGTTCATGTAAATACTAAACTCATGATGATAGAACTATTAATATTAAAGATAGTAAGAATTACGTAAAATTTTAACGTATGGCATTAGAGATGATAAATTATATACTTCTTTTTATGACATAAAAATACAGGAAATGCTCTAAACTTTACCAAAAGTTGATCTACAGTGAGAAATAAAAGTAATTAGATTTTTTATTTTGAATATTTTATTCTGATTTTTTTGCTAAATACTTTACTATTGGAATAAAAAAGATATAACTGGTCAAATCATGACATGAAGATATTTCCTTTTGAAAATTTCAATTCGGAACAAATGATGACAAATTTAAACTTTTTAGGTTGCACAATAACATAAAAAACAAATACTAATATCAAAAACTCTAGGGACAAGGGTACAGGGTACTATAAAAATAGTTAGCACATAATCTCATTAATTTCTGTTAACTAATATAGAACTATTTTCAGATTATAACAATATTTAGACAAAAATTTGTCTTTTCAGATGATCACATTGAATATATAGTTAACTAACACCGGTGGTAGTTTGGCTAATAGTTGCTCGAGATAATGTCAGAAAATGAACTATAAAAAGACAGTTGAGAGAACTTTTATTTGGAACATTATGGGATATATTTTATGTGGTATAAATTGAACTTGAATGAAGAAGCAAAAATTTATATAGCCGGCCTCAATTTATTTGAGATTGAGACATAGATTGGTGTTGTATAAAAAGTAAAGCGCTTTGTAAATGATTACTATATAAAAAGATACATGAGAAAATTTGTAAGAAGGAGGATTTTCCTATTTTTGGTGGATATGAGAAGTGAGAGGAGTTTTTAGAAAGAAACTTGTAATGTAGAAAAGAAAAGAATTAGGATATTAGTTTTTCTTTCGTAAATATTCTTTTTTTCGTAAAAGTTCAGATCTAAAGCAAACAAGCCATAAATTACATTCCAAACATTACTAATAATATATGCTTGTTTAGGAGAGATTCAGAGAAACACTGGATTTTGTTCTTTTTTTTTTGGAATTTTTACCTCCTATAGCAAAGGTTAACACCTTATTTATTTTAAATAAATACCTTAAAAAAATTGTATTCTATAGATACCTTTTAATGTTTATAGCAAAAAATTTAATTTTGGTTACCTCTTACCCCTAAGCCACTAAATACGCTATTCAGTTACACTATTTTCTTTCTCTCTCTACTTTGATACATGCCATTCTTTTTCCCCCAATATTCCTTGAAAACACAACTGAGGGCTCCGCTCACTGCCACTCTCATGGCTTCCGCCACCGCCGCCGCCTGGACTCGCCGGTTTCGCCATCCTTCACTCTATCGGAACCCTAACTAACTCATAAAGTTTCTCTTTCTGGCAAAAGTGAGTTTTTTTGGGAAAAGCTCAGATATTTTTTTTGGTGCAATAGCAGATTCTTTATTGTTTTTGTGAAAAGGATTCGACTCTGCTCACAAGAACAAAGGCACTTGATTGAATACAAAGGTTCATAAGCAACTTGATATTCTGTTACGAAGGGCCCTTCCTATTTGATCAAATACGAAGGGCACTTGATTGAATACGAATGGCCTTTTTGGTGAGATTTAAGGTTTTTGCTCGACGGCGGATTCGCCAGAAATTAGGGTTTGTTCTTGAACAAAGACGACGGAGTTTGGGGCTGAGCAACTTGAGTTTCTATTAATATATTTCAATGTATTACACTGTATTTTCATGTATTTCATTGTATTCATTGTCTTTTTTTTCATTGTAATTCAATGTATCTCGCTGTATTCCACGTATTTCATTGTGTTCACTGTCTTTCTTTTCATTGTATTTCAATGTATCCCGTTGTATTCTATGGTATACATAAATTATATAATAGTTATACAAATATTATATAAAGATAATAAATATATTATACATTTTTCGGCTATTTTTAATTTAAGCGGCTGGATGAGCGACTATTCAGGTTAATTCTTCAAAAATCAATTTAACTAGCTGCTCGCCCTATATATATTGCTTAGGGCTGTAAATAATTTTGGTCGAGTGACCAAATATAATTTTCCCACAAAATTTTCTAGCTTCTAAACAGTTACCTCTCTGTTTAAAATTGCACAAAAATATGCAAAACTCGTTTAAAAATTCACTTTAAAATGTTATTCCTTTTTCTGAAGATTTTGAAGTAATATTAAAATTTGTGTGTTTTATATATCTAACATGAGACATAATAGGAGTACAGAGTTATGACAACAACAATGACCATTCAAATATTCTTGTTGCACGAGAAAAACGTGAGATAAAGTTGGAATATTTCTTTTATATACGAATTTGAATTTTCTTTCTTGAATTATCACGTTAAATATTTTTTTGTTATACAAGTAATGTGTGAGACACTGAGACTTCAACTCAGCACTTGATATACATGTGTTGAAGTGTAATTAATTTATTTAAGAGTTTAAACTATCACAGAAGTAATGTATTTTATTTACTTACGTAAGATTTTGTATAAATTAAACAACTAAGTAGGCGTTTGGACATAAAAATTGTAATTTTCTTTTTTTGAAAAAATAATAGTATTTGGAGTTAAGTTCAAAAATAGTATTTGGAATTTGAAATTATGTTGGGACATGCATTTCACTGAAAAAATATTGCAGTGTTGTTAGTATGGAAAAAAATTTAAAAAGTGATCTTAAACTCATTTTCGAAAAATTTCCAAAAATGTGCAAAATTTTATGAACAAATATATTTTTGGAAAAAAACAAATTTTTGAAAAAAAATCTAAAAGTGGAAAAAAAAATTATGGACAAACGGGTCTAAGTTTTGAAAACTTTTTGAAAAAGTCAAAAAACTTTATTATACGAACAAACGCTCACCATGTAATATGGTCACAAAACATAAAACAAATGTTTGTTTTTTATACGCTACTCAAAATAATGGGGTTAATCATTCAGACATTACCGTGATTTATAATATGTTTAATAGCAAATGGACAATATATATAATCCATTCCTTCATTATTAGTGGAAAAGATTTCATCTTTTTTCAAAGTTTTGATGGCAATCTAGTCAATATTATTATTGATGATATTTGCATGGTCCATTTGGGGTGTCTCTATCAACTTGGATCCTACTAATTACACTTTACTACCGCTAGTTTCTAATTAGCAAATAGTTTAATAATAAAAGATCATAAGTAAACCTAGTGTTATGAGTTTAAATTCCAACAACCTTAGCTTCTTGTCCGTGTTGTTCAATTAGGTTTTGTTCTAATTCCAAATTATCTACATATGATGGAAAATTAATTGAAAATTGTAGTAGGAAACCAAAACTATCTAGGATTTGGTTTTACGAGCTATTTAATCCATGTTTAATTAGGATTTCCTAATTCTAGTCAAAATAGGTTTTGTACTATTATAAATAGGAGTATTGTTAGTTTATTATAAATAGGAGTTTTCTAAAGTAACTCCAAATAACATAAAAACCCTAGAAAGTTTTTCTTCTTTTCTTCAACCAAACAATTATTTGGTAATACCATTTTGTGTTCAAAGATGGCCAAAACAAGAATTAGAGCAGAGATTGATTTAAGAAGAATGGATGAGCAGCTACAAAGACATTTAGATCGAGCATTTATCAACCCTAAGTGCTGTGAAAGTGAAGAACCAAAAGTCCAAGAAATCAAGAAAGAAGAATGGGAATTGAACTGTCAAAATATTAAGGTCAAGAATCTTATTGGTCAAGGAGCATATGGATCAGTTTACAAAGGAATTTACAATGGAAAAGAAGTTGCAGTTAAATTACTTGATTTGAGAGATGAAGATAGAAAAGCTATAGTAACAAAAGCTTTTACACAAGAAGTTTCAATATGGTACAAATTAAATCATCCAAATATTGCTAAGTTAATCGGAGCTTCGAAAAACAACGTGCCCGATATTAAACGACGTCGTCCAACAAAAGATGATCATGGATATTGCATTGTGGTAGAATTTGTTCCTAAAGGTACACTCAAATCCTACCTTATTAAAAACCAAGTCAAGAAATTACCTCTACGTTGTGTAATTCAACTAGGGTTAGATATTGCAAAAGGGTTGAGTTATCTTCACTCAAAGAAAATTGTACATAGAGATGTGAAGACTGAGAATTTACTACTTGACAAAGAAGGAAGAGTAAAAATAATAGATTTTGGAGTTTCTAGAGTTGAAGCTACTTGTCCTATTGATATGACAGGTCAAAATGGTACAATGGGATATATGGCTCCTGAGGTTTTAGCTTGTTTACCATATGATCATAAATGTGATGTTTATAGTTTTGGTATTTGTTTATGGGAAATATATAGTTGTTCAATGCCATATCCTGAACAAATTCCAATTTCTAAAACTTCTCCTGATGTTTATAAAGGTAGAAGACCTGAAATACCAAAGTCTTGCCCTAGTGCTTTGGCTGATATAATGAAGAAATGTTGGGATGTAAACCCTAAAAAGAGACCAGAGATGCATGAGGTGGTTTTGATGTTGGAAGCAATTGATACATCTGAATTAGTTGCACAAAATGAGTTTAAGGGTTGTTTTTGTTTGATGAGAGGAAAAGGATTATAATGTGTAATAGGTTGGTTTTGTTTTATGAAGCTTGTATATGTTTTAGGACTATTATTTTAATTTTTGTACAAATCATTCTTTCAGCTTTTTTAATACAAGTGTTACAAAAATTGTTACATGAAATCTCTTTAAATGCAAATAAATCAAGACAATTTATGTTGTGGTCTGTCCCAAATTTAATAACATGTGTTGCAAAAAATCGTTTAACTAAGTATATCTCTCATATAAACCATAAAAATATGTTTTTTTTTTAAATATTGAAAAGCTTATCTTACAGTAATTAATACTAGTAAACAATAATGTGCTCGTCCCACTAGTGTTCCATCGTTTAACACACGTGAGAAAAGGTAAAAACAAGTGTCAATGTTATTCTTCATATGTTATGAATGTATACCGTCAAAATCGGGCTCATATATTGCATGACTGATGGAGACCTAAACGTGATGGATTGAAGATCGATCCCGAGTTCCATCGAACCAAAGTACGAAGTTAAAACATGCGTCTTCAAGATCTTCGAACCCGTGACTCCGGAATCGACCCCAACTTCGAATAAGCTCGAAGAAGCATCATCGGATCTAATAACGAAAGGCCGAAATATCCGCAACCGGTAAGATATCACGGTGTGTATCAATGAGAGACCGATTAATTAGCAAATTATGGGATTTCTTACCTTTTATAGAGTATCTAAAGCAGGACTCCCCTACTATATAAAGGGGGTCTGACTCTTTGTAATAGACATTGTAACACAAAGGCAATACACTGTTATTTCTAGTTCTCATTATCCTGCTATTCTGTTCCGACATCGATCGAGGCTATTTCAGCTTCCAGGGTGACTAACCTTCAAGGCTAATACTGTTCAACTTGTGTGGTTTGCATTCATTTTCTGTCATTAATTTCAAACTAATCCTGTTTTCTCAATCTGTACCAAGTTAAATCATGTATCCTTAAAATCGCGTATAAATTCAATTATTATCTTTTTTGAGGGTAAACAATGAATTAAAATATGAAGCACTAATTCTCCAATGGAAAAGTGCTTCCAATTGCTCGTAACATATATTTAATATATAATCATCTCCATTTAGGGGCGTAGCGGAATGATAAAGGTTCCTCACTCCTAACTATAAGTCTTAAATTCGAACCATAAAATTTAGAAATGCTGAAACTTCACTATTAGATTTTCAGCTTCACGAGTTAGAATTATTGAGCTAATACATTGATTAAAAAAATAATCACGTTCATTCCAATTGTCGGTTGAGGGTCCTCTCTACTTTGACCAACTGTATCTTCTATGATTGCCACTGTATCACAAATGTTATCCCTATATGACCAACCACCATTGATTGCCAAATAAATCAATTGACACCAATTTTAGTTGCTTTAATTAAATCCTGACAAACTATGATTAATCAAGATTCATTAGTGCCGTTTAAGTAACGGAATATAATTGCTGATGATGATGCCAAGTTGGAAGATTAATGACCAAAATTATATACTCTGTGACATAGGATTTATCCACGCAGGTATAAGAATATATAAACATTTTTTTTTTGTAATCGTAGTATTTGAGTTAGCTTGCGTACATCTCGACTAACTCCATAGATACTTGCTAGTTATATTGCACATACTCTCCAAAATGTTGTTGCACGTACCTGTGTCGGATCCTCCAAAAATACACTACTTTTGGAGGAACGCACCCAACGATATTTGTAGAGTCCGAGCAACATAGCCTGCTAGACTGCAACATCCCACCAACACAGGCACCGAGGCCACCAAAGTTTGGACAAATGAAAAAGTGTCTTTACTGGAATTCAAACCTGAGACCAACTCTTTGCATTGATCAGTGTTAGTTTGGTGTAAACAACCGGTGTAGGTAAGTATTTACCGGGCCACACCCTTATAAACATATAAACATTTTTAGAATGTTAGTGTTTCTTGAAAATCATTTTTACCATAAAGTTTTATAATATATGATTGTATGCGGTCAAAATCGAGAAGCATGATTTTGAAGTCTTAAATTGGGCTATAGGTCCGAGTCCGGGAGACTCGAAGTGGAGGTCAGATCCGGCTAAGGGACACCTACCTCGAGGAAGCTGATCGAAGGCCTGGCACGACCTACATCGACGGCAGAGATAATAGTGATTATTTTAGTACTAGTTTTATGATAACACACGTTATTCTTCACACTTTTTCTTGTCAAAGATCTTTTGATTTTAGGCCAAATATGTCTAGCACAAAACGCACTAGAGCATGTCAGCAAAGGACTCGGAGAAAACAGCGGTATAGGGCTTGGTGTACCACCCATAAACTCTGGGGGAGTGCCAAACGTGGAGCCAGTTGATATCAGTTCGCACAACGCTCTGAACACGGACGCAGGCACAGACCCCGTGAGGAATGCACACAGGGAAGCCCGAGCCGGAGGACAGGAAACACGAGGATTGGAAGAAGGAGGAGTCAGCCTCCAGGTGATATTCGAGATGCTGCAAGCTCAACAAGTTTCCATCGCTCAAATTCGGAGCCAAAACAGAACTCCTAACACTACTGAACCAGTGAACGAACCGGCGCTAGAGAGGCCCGGTGAAGGTGGCTCGAGGACTGATCCCGCTATTATGAAAATGCTCGAAGAACTGACTAAAAGAATCGAGTCCGGCGAAAATAAAATTGAAGAAAATGACAAAAAGGTGGAGACATACAATTCAAGAGTCGACCAGATACCAGGAGCACCTCCGATTTTGAAAGGACTGGATTTAAAAAAGTTCATACAAAAACCTTTCCCCCAAGTGCGGCTCCAATGCCCATTCCAAGAAGTTTTGCATGCCCGATATACCAAAATATAATGGAACAACTGACCCTAATGCACATATTACTTCATACACTTGTGGAATCAAAGGAAATGACTTGAACGATGATGAAATCGAGTTAGTATTGTTAAAGAAGTTTGGAGAAACATTATCAAAATGAGCTATAATCTGGTATCACAACTTAGCTCCTAACTCCATTAATTCATTTGCTATGCTGGCGTACGCCTTCATAAAAGCACACGCCGGGGCCATATAGGTGGCAACGAGAAAATCGGATGTCTTCAAAATAAAAAAAAGGGATGACGAGATGTTAAGGGAGTTCGTGTCCCGGTTTTAGATGGAAAGGATGGAATTACCACTGGTCTCCAGGTTGACGAGATGTTAAGGGAGTTCGTGTCCCAGTTTTAGATGGAAAGGATGGAATTACCACCGGTCTCCGACAATTGGGCGGTTCAGAACTTTATGCAAGGTTTGAATGAAAGAAGTTCGATAGCATCTCGATAGCTAAAGCAGAACTTGATCGAATATCCAGCTGTAACATGGTCGGATGTGCACAACCGGTATCAGTCAAAAATTAGGGTCGAGGACGACCAGTTGGGAGCCCCCTCGGGCTCAGTTCACCCGAACAGATTCGCAGCCAAGCCCCCGAGGGACACAGACTGGGGATCAAGATTCAACAAGGAAAGGTATCAACCGTACATCAAAGATAGAAGGAATGTTTAGAGGCGTAATTGATGTTTTATACTTCAATACCACACAAGAGGGGGAGGGTGATTTGTGTGATACCCAATTTTCGCTTAACTTGATTATAGAAGGACCTGGTTCTTATATATGTTCCAACTACTACTGTTTGCGGAATAATGAGTAAAGAAAATAAAGAACATAGAGATTTTTACGTGGAAAACACCTGGCTCAAAAGGTAAAAAAACCACGACCTACTACTCAGTAGGATTTTCCTAAACTTCCACTAAAATCACCGAGCCAAAAACTACATTTACAAAAACTCTTTGTAAACCTAGGATTAACTCTAATCCCGTTGTGGCACACAACCTCAACTGTTGCGACAACTTCAAGTTAACTCTAACTTGAACACTCTAAGTACCTAATACAATTGCTTCTATAAAAGTTGAAAGGTACAATGTAAAATCGCCTACTACAATTGAACTAGAATAAAAGATAGGCACTTGGAATCGGTTCTTCTATCTGGTCCAAGTAGCTTCAGGATTGCACGCTTGAATCACACATAAATTGCTTGCAAAATTGCCTTGCTATTTTGATCTCAATTCACGTTTAACTTCTGCTTATGTGCATTACCAGTAAAAGAGAACAACACTAATATTTAATGGGTTAGTAATTAGAGATTGACTGGGATACAGACGCTACTCTTCTATGGTAGAAGAGTTCTAGTTGATCTCATACTCTAACACTATCCTCTTTCTAAACTGAGTTCTCTTCGTGTAAGTGTCACGTCCCAAACCGATGGTCCGCGATGGGCACCCGGTACCTTACTCGACCGAGTACCAACGTAATGTATCTTTCTTATTACATCATCATATACACGTGACATACGGGCCTAATAGGCCAACATAATTATTTATAAACTCAAAACATAGGCCGACAAGGCCGTACAATCTTTCACGTATACGACATATGTCTACAAGCCTCTAAGAGTAGATAAATTTCATAAACGTCAGGATAGAGTCCCGCCATACCAAACAATACACGTCTAAATCATACTAACCAAACAAGCAACTCCGAAGTAAATGGAGCGCACCAACATCTTCCGCTGAGCTGATAGCCTACTTGGAGGGCTCTCTACCTGTCTATCGGGACCTGCGGGCATGAAACGCAGCGTCCCCAGGCAAAAGGGACGTTAGTACGAATAATGTACCGAGTATGTAGGCACATAAATAAGTACATAAGAGACATGGAAGAAATAAGAGTACATGACTCAACCTGTAAGTCTGAACAACTTTGTAAATCATAAATTACTTTTAGCGTCATGCATATGCGTATGAATGTAATGTCGTGCATGGGCACATGTTTCATAACATCATCAGCCTCTGAGGGCATCCCATCATATCATATCGGCCACTGTGGGCAAAATCATCATCGTATACCAGCTGATCAGGTGGTGGTGCGTATATAACGCCATAACCTTTCCCATATCCCATATACATATATATACATACATATATACGC